ATCCCCTAACGAAATCAGCCTGTGTGGCTCCACGTCCCCCCCAGGCACCCTCTCCCCGGGCCATGGCAGCACCGAGCTCTCGCTTAGAGGAGGGGAAGGTTTAATGCCACATTTCTGTCCTACCAACCCCACATCCCCTCCTCAAGGACCACGGCTTCAGCCTGGCTGGGTGCAAGCTCCTAACATTCCGTGATCTGCCCAGCCCTGAATACTTCAGTGGAACTAAAATCCATATTTCAGTTGCCCTCTTGGCTGCAGGACGATTTGGGGGATGAAGGTGAGGTCAACATTCATAAATGTGCCCCCTGCTTACTTATTTCACTTTTTCTCCTGCCTCGAAGGCTGGGCACCCTCAGGGTCAGCAAGACCCTTGTCGCTCTCGCCAAGGCTCAGCCAAGTCCCCAAATAGCCCTTGGATCCAGGGGAGGGATGGGGCTGACCAGCCCGGCTGGCCTTGACCTGCCCAAATAACCCCGGGCCCAAGCGCAAAAGGAGAGCGAGTCAATAACCCTGGTGCTGCCATTCCCCAGTTAAAAAAGTCCGAAAACCTACGGGACTCGTCTCTTTCCAATAGATGTTAAATGACACCAGGTCTTGGAAGCAAAGGGAATCGGGCTCGGGAGGTTGGCAGGAGAAAACTGGGCATTTCTTGCAGCTGTTTTGCCAAGCTGGTGCTCCCAAAATGCTCCCTGGCCATGGCTGGAGAAGCTGCAGGAGCAGGAGGCATTAGCAGAGATGGATAAATCATGTTTGACTTTCCTCATAGATGAAAAAGGGGTTTTCCACAAGGTTAAATAGCCCAAATTTGGGAGAACTGGAGCTCTCTGCATGCAAGATGTCTACTGAACTGCTGTGTCAAGCCCTGTCCCCACGGCCTGCCCTGCCAAGGAGCCCCAGGCTCTTTCAGGTGCTCTCCTGCCATTCAACATCTCCCTCCATGTGCGTCCCAGTCCCCCACGTCGCAGCACACGGTCACCTGGAGGCTGCCTGCAGCTCCAAGGTGTGCGCCGCCTGCCATCGGCCGTGGAATTGTTCTGCTTTGCAGAAACACTCTTCATTCCGCTGGAGAGAAGAACCCTCCCTACTCTGGGGCTTCGCTTCGCCGTTTCCATCAGGGAGCTTTTCGGGTCTGGAAAGGCGTTTCTTTCCACTTCAAAACTACCCTGAGCTTCAATCTGGCTCTTCCCCGCCCCCCAGCATGTGATTTATGTGGTTTAGGTTAACCTCAACTCAAAACTTCCAAATTTAATTTTTTTTGTGTGCTCCCCAGTCAGATCCCTAGAATTTGCTTTTGCTTTCCCTCTTCCCCGCGGCTGGGTCCCTTCCCAGCCCTCCACCAGAGGGGCTTTCCCCATCCAGGCTCTTCCCAGCACAATGGTACAAAATCATTGGCGTTTCCTCGCTCCCGGAGAGTGCCGTTACCAAAGTGTGGCATGTCCAGAAAATGCCACCAGCGCCAGCTCTGATGGGGGCAATTGTCCTGGCAAGGTGGCTCAGCCAGGGGTGGCTGGGCAGGCTTTGCCCATGCTTCATGCCTTCCTTGGAGAGGCTTCTTTTTCTCCATTTTTTTTTTTTTGCAACTTGGGGATACCCTAGACCAATGGGAATGTTTTTCCATCAAATGGTTCTTAGTGAAGTTTTGTTCTGGGAATTTGTCCTGTTGCTCTTTGAACTGGTGCAAAAGTGTAACTGCAGCTGCTCGTGGTACATCACCTCCTTGCCCTGAGCTCCTCTGCCAACCAACGGGAGCGAGGGCCTGAAGCCACCTGCTTGGTACTGCTGATCTGGGTGGGCTTCCCAAACCTCGGCTACTGCCCAACGTTGCATGCTGGCTAGAAACGTTGCAGAAGACCTCTGGGGCAGCTGGGACGGAGTTTAACCCACAGCCACTCACAGTCGGTGGGGAGGGAGGGACGTAAAGCAGCAAAGGCTCTGGCTGCGCCCGGCCACATCTCCTTCCTCGCTTGGCTGTGGCAGCGGTGCTGCTCCGGGATGAGAAAAGGTTCAGTCATTTCAGGAGTCGCTTCGCTCTCCCTTTCCATATCTAATCTAGTGCCTTCCTCAGAAACAAGAGGTTTTCTTCCTCACCTTTGAAGTTGAAATGAGGTCGAAGTTAAAAGCACGAGGTACGTGAGTTGCACTGTACGTGTGCGTGCATGACATGCTCTGCTACTCAAAAAGACATGCGAAAGAGCCAAACTGATTAAATCTTTTTAATGACATTGCTGCGCTGTAATTTACCACTCAATCTGCTTTGACAACGTGCTGTTGAGAGTATTTGCTAGAGTGTTTATTGAGGAGAATTTCAGAGAGCCCAGGGTGCGTTTCCCTCCATAGGACCATGAGCAGTCTTGAGCTCAAGCCAAGTGACAACAAACATCCTCCCACTATGTCAAAAATAGGTCTTGAGGCGGGTGGATCCAAGCTCCTATTCACAAGCATTTGCTTCCCCAGTGTGAGCCTGCAGGTCACCCAAAGGAATGAGATCCAAGCTGCCTGTTTATTAAGAAGTCTATCTAACTACAGGGTGATCTCCATAAATATCATCACCAAGCCTCCAGTGGGACAAAACTGGGCTCCCTGCCCATGAACGGCCACTCGCTCTGCACCCAGCAAGTGCCACCTTGTATGCTTGGAAACCCTGTTGGCTGACGGAGCTACATCTCTGCGGTCACCCACTGCTGCAAGAGGCATCTAAACCCCCTGGAGACAGCAGCTGGGCCCCGACACACTCTGCATTGTCACCCCCCCAGTAACTCCTCTTCCCCACACTGTGTCCTTCAAAACAGGCTAAAGTAAAATATTTCAGGTGAACTGGATGTGCTCATGGGGCTTTACACTGTGGTTTCTTCCTGGGAAGGCTTTTTATGGCACTGGGTAAAGCCAAGAGCAAGCCTAAGTCAGCTCTAGCTGCTCCTTGAAATTTGCTTTTGGAAATGGAACACCCTTTCCAAGCAGCTAAACTTTGCGTCCCCACATGAGATGCTCCATCGCTGCTCAGTTCAATCAACAACTCAGTTTTATGATCGGTTTTGCTGGCAATACCAGCAAAAGGCAGCTCTGGAGGCCAATGCTCAAAGCTGAAGTCTTCCCAATGGAAGTCTCAAGGTGGAAGGATTTAGCCCAGGGATAGGTGTCACCTTCCGAATCTAGCAGGAGCAGTGGAACGAGTGACCATCCATCCCAACTCCCCAGTGCCACCAACTGACAGGAGGAGACTGTTCATAGAGCTCATCTGTGGAATATTATTCATCCCTAATCCACATCCATATCAGCTCAATCAGTTCTATCGAAGTCTTCAATTTCTCCAACTGCTCTGAGCTCTGGGCTTTAAAGACGGGAAGAGCACCAGGGTTGGCTGCGGAGATCCCGGGAGCTGCACGCTAAAGGAGGAGAGATGCGTGTGTCCGCAGGCACACAAGGCAGAGGCAGAAGCACGAACGATTATTTGGCAATAAAAAATTGATGCCTCACAAATTTATTGCTCTTCTTTGAGGCAGCCAGCAAGCACAAGGCTGAAGAAGACGTGGCAGATTTTTCCACCTGAATTTCCAAAGGGGCTGGCTAAGGTCCAGCAAGGGCTCTTCAAGAAACTAAGGGGCCTCAGGAAGGTCTCGTCTAGACAGGTACTGTGAGGAGGACAGGAAAAAGATGGGAGGGTTAAAGGTTCGGATTTCAGAGTGAAGGACGCGTTCTCAGGCTTCTACTGATCAGTGTCATCAACCAATCTGCAAAGCAGAGAAAAAACGAAGGTGGCAGAGGTTGCTAATGAAAATAAGGGACTCGCCATGCTAAAGGCAAGGTCTTGCTGATGGTTCTTCTTCTACAGAATGACCACAAGAGGAAATGCAGAGGGAATTCCTTGGAAATGTTTGCTAAATGCTGCCGACGGAGAAAACAATTGCGTGTCTGTATGCATTGCTGGACTCTGAGCGGATTTTCCCCACACAAACCTCCTGGGGCCAGAACAGACCTTTGAAAACCTCAGCTCAGGGACCAGTAGCACTGGGGAAAACAAACTGAACGTCCAGAATTATCAGCAGGGAGCCTGGGAGGGCACAGCTGTGTCCACCGACTCCATGCAATGGTGCTCCCCGACCTGAAAGGGAAACAATTTCCAATGATAAGACCTGAGCGGCAGCAGGAAGCTCAATAAAGGCCAATTAATTATTCACTGGTTTTTAAACACGGGGCCCAGAGACATCAGCTGATGCCAGAAGTTGCGATGGTCGAGGCGGACAGGAGGAGGCAGCTCATCAAGGGTGGTCCTGACGGTCTCCTTGCCGCAGGGTGCTGCAGGCACTAAAACTTACGGTGCTTTCCGGGGGATCCTTGGTACCCCACACCTCACCTGCACCACTCTTCTGCTGTCGGACTCCTCCTCAAACCCACCGTGTCTTGCTAAGCTGTCCAAAAAACAGCCTTGTAAAATAAATTGAGGAGTTTTCCGCCCACTTAGCATCCTGATGCAGCACCCCGAAGGCAGTCAGGGAGAGCCCAAGGCAGAGCAGGGGCAGGACCGGGGCTGGGAGAGAGGAGCATGGCCGGTTCCTCCCGCAGCAGCAGGCAGCCTCATGGCACAGCCACTCCTTCAAGCTGGAACTTTGCACAGTACAAAGTCCTCGAGACAGGTTTAAGGTAGGTATTGCTCGTTCACTTTTCCCTCTTGGAGACTTGCTTCAGCTCTCCAAGCTGTGGAGCAGATCCAGAATTGTTTGCAGAGATCAGAGGTGAACTTCTCTAAAGACCAAGCTGTAGCCAGTACAACGAGTTGTTCAGGTAACTAACAGATTAGCAAAGACAAGCACGAGTCCTACTCTGACAGCCTATTCTCCAGTAAGACAAAGACATGGAAACACCTAATTGCTTCCTTGTCTTTGTTCACTTCAAAGCTCCTCATGTCCCTCTGTTTCCATCAAGTTCAATCATCCCATGAAACCGCAACCCGCCAGCAAGAACAAAAAGATCGTAGCTGCAGCAGAGAGCTGAGCCAACAGCAGTTAAACAAACCACCGGGACAGATGGGGCACAACCCGGTACCTGGCCTCTGTCGTCTGCAAGAAGAGACAAGCTCTGCAGACATGCACGGCCCAGCTGGGCCCGGGAGAAGGTTTCAACCACTTGCGCCACTGGAAGTAGCGCTGGTACCTCTCGGAGTCCTTGCTCAGCTCCTGCAGGTACTGTGCCAAGTCCGCAGGGCTGGCGAAGTCATCGACATGGATGAAGGAGTCGGGGGGCAAGAAGAGCTCGTAGTTTTCTCGAGGAGGCCCCAGAACGACAGGGACGGTGCCAGCGGTCAAGGCGTTCTTCCAGAGCTTCTCGGTGATGTAGTCTTCATGCTGCGAGTTCTCAAACGCCAGGTAGAAGCTGTACTGGGACATGGTTGAGAGGACGTCGTCCCTGGACAGGGGCAAGTGCTGCTTCCCGTAGATGTCCACAGTGATGTGTTTCTTCAGCTCCTCATAGTACTTTACCCGTTGCAATGCTGGTTTCCAGTTGCTGACAATCCAGGCCACCAGCTTGGTCTTGGGCGGGATGTTGAAGGGCTGGGGCTCGGTGAGGAGATGTAGCTGCCCGTAAGGGGTGTAGATATCCGAGTCTCTCCGGTACGACATGGTCAGGTTGAAGACGTTGTCCATGGCGCCTAAGTTTGGAGAGTTAGTGGGGGACTCCAGGTTGAACCAGATCCAGCGCTGGGAAGGGGGTCTGGGTTGCTGGGCCAGCTCGTTCATGTTCTTGCACACATCCCTGTGGTGCACAATCACAGCGTCAGCCTTTTGGGACCAGCTGCGGTCGATGGTGAAGTGGCAGTCGGGGGTTCTGTACAATTTCGAGCAGTTCATGAAGGTAAAGTGGGTACCGAAGGGCCACGTCCACAGCAGGATGGTCAGCGGGCGCTCGCTCTTCGGCAGGCTGCTGGTTTTTGGTGGGTTGCCGGCGTTCGCAGCGTGGGCTACTTGTTTGGAGGGACTGGAATCGTGATGCTGCGGCTCAGAAATCCCGAACTGACGAACAGAAACCAAGAGGCAGGAGGTGAAGATGAAGATGAAGAGCAGGAAGGTGAAGAGTTTCTTGCAGGAGACGACCTTCCCTTCCATGAGCTCCATGACTGGATCTGCAAACACCACAGACAGGACAAGGA